TGCGAGTCAGCGGGTGACCCACTGCACGGACGCACGCACAGGCCGGCACCTGGCCACGTTCTCGCGTCGGCCGGGGTCGAGCCTCTACACCCTGACCACTGAGTCTCCTCCTGTCCCCGCGTCCGGTCAAGTAGCAGCGTCGGGTCAGGTGTTTGCTGCTGCGTCCAGGTCTGGTCCTGAGTCTGCCCCCTGTACTTGTCGCCTCCTGTCTCACGAGACTCTCCTGTGGCACCACCGTCTTGGCCACCCCTCCTTGCCCCGTCTTCGGAGCATGGCTTCCCGTGTCCTTGTCTCTGGTCTTCCCCAGTCTCTCCCTCCTCTCCCCTCCGGGCCAGGACCTTCCTGTGTCCCCTGTGTCGAGGGTCGCCTCCGGGCTACTCCTCACTCCTCCCACTTCCCCCCGACAGAGGCTCCCCTGCAGACGCTTCACATGGATGTGTGGGGCCCAACCCCCGTCCGTGGGCAGGATTACGAGCGCTACTTCCTGTTGGTGGTTGACGACTACTCGCGTTACACCACAGTCCTCCCCTTGCGCAGCAAGGGTGAGGTCACTGAGGTGCTGATCGACTGGATCCGCGAGGCTCGTCTCCGGCTTAGGAAGAGCTTCGGCTCGGACTTTCCTGTTCTGCGTCTGCACTCGGACAGAGGCGGAGAGTTCTCCTCTTGCCTTCTGCGTGCCTACTGTCGTGAGCGAGGCATCCGCCAGTCCTTCACGCTTCCGGACTCACCACAGCAAAATGGGATTGCTGAGCGCCGCATTGGCATGGTCATGGATGTCGCTCGTACGTCCATGATGCATGCGGCTGCCCCCCATTTTCAGTGGCCGTTTGCGGTGAGGTACGCGGCGCATCAGCTCAACCTTCACCCCCGGGTCTCTCGGCCTGCGATGTCCCCAGCCTTGCTGTGGACAGGGAAGGTTGGCGATGCGTCTGTGTTCCGTGTTTGGGGATCTCGGGCGTTTGTCCGCGACTTGTCTGCGGACAAGCTGTCCCCTCGTGCTGCTCCCTGTGTCTTCCTTGGCTTCCCCACTGACGCCCCAGGGTGGCAGTTTTACCACCCCTCCTCTCGTCGTGTTCTGTCCTCCCAGGACGTCACGTTCGACGAGTCAGTCCCTTTCTACCGTCTCTTCCCCTACCGCACTCCTTCCCTCCCCCCTCCCCCGGACTTCCTTGTACCGGCTCCCCCCCCGGTAGACCCCCTCCCCCCTCAGGTTCCTGCCCCCTCAGGTGTGTCCCAGGTAGACGCCGTTGACCCGGTCGAGGTTACAGGTGACTCTGGTGCTGCTGCGGGTGCTGACTCTGGGGGTGCTGTGCGCGGGGGTGCTGATCCTGGGGGTGCTACTGCTGGGGGTACTGGGCCTGCGGGTGCTACTGCGGAGAGTGCGGAGCCTGGGGGTGCTGAGCAGGGGGGTGCTGTGCCTGGAGGTGATGGGTCTGGGGGTGCTGGGTCGGGAGCTGCTGAGCCTGGGGGTGCTGCGTCTGGAGCTGCTGAGCCTGGGGTTTCTCCTGCTGCTGCGTCTCGCCGGGAGCCCCTCTCTCCACAGGAGCTGCGCGAGTGGTTCGCTCGCCGCTGGAGGCGTGCTGCTGAGTCTGGAGGTGCTGCTGGAGCTGGAGCTGGAGCTTCTTCGACCGTCGAGGGTGCGGGTGCTGCCGGTCCCGGAGCTACTGGACCTGCGGGTCCTCCTGGAGCTGGAGCTGCTGAGGGCGTTGGTGCTGAGCCTGCTGCTGTTGGTCCTGCCGCTGGAGGTGTGGGTGGCGCTGGTGCTATCTCTGAGGGCGCTGGTGCTGTCCCTGCTGCGTCTGGAGCTGCTGAGCCTGGGGTTTCTCCTGCTGCTGCGTCTCGCCGGGAGCCCCTCTCTCCACAGGAGCTGCGCGAGTGGTACGCTCGCCGCTGGAGGCGTGCTGCTGAGTCTGGAGGTGCTGCTGGAGCTGGAGCTGGAGCTTCTTCGACCGTCGAGGGTGCGGGTGCTGCCGGTCCCGGAGCTGCTGGACCTGCGGGTCCTCCTGGAGCTGGAGGTGCTGAGGGCGTTGGTGCTGAGCCTACTGCTGTTGGTCCTGCTGCTGGAGGTGTGGGTGGCGCTGGTGCTGTCGCTGAGGGTGCTGGTGCTGTCCCTGCTGAGTCTGGAGCTGCCGCGCGGCCTCGGCCGTACTTCGTTCCGCTCCTACAGCAGGTTCTTGGTCTTTCTCCTTCGGTAGAGTGTCCACAGCCTGTCCAGTCGCAGTCACTGTTGGAGCCTTCCTCTCCTCTGCCTGCTCCCTCTCCTTACACTGGTCCTACTGGAGGTCTTGCTGAGCGTCGTGAGCCTGCGTCTCGTCCCGCGTCGCCTGTTCGTGCTGCTCGCGCTAGTGGTCGCGGTTCGCGTCAGCGTCCTCCTCCTGTCCCTGGCACGCACCGGATGTCTCTGCGTCCGTCCACAGCTCCTCTGCGTGCCCCTTTGCCTTCGCCTCCTGAGTCCTCTCTTCCTGCGCTTGCCGACCCTGAGTCGGACTCTCTTCGCGCTGCCAGTCCTACTGTCACGCGTCTGCTTGCTACTGTCGTCACTGACCCCTCTTTTGAGTCCACTGCTGCGTCTGCTCTAGTCGCTGAGCTCGTTGACTTTGCTGCTCGCTGTCGTCTCGACTACGCTGCTGGTCTTGTTGCTGAGTCTGCGTCTGTCTGTCCTCCGTCCGTCGGGGGTGAGTGTGCTCTTGGCACGGACGTCCTAGAGGACAGACAGGAGGAGTTACAGTGTCTAGCGGCTGCTTCACCTCATCTCGCGTCTGTACTGCTTGCCCCTGAGGGAGACCCGGATGCACTAGACATCCCGACTCCGCGTTCTTACGCGGAGGCCGTAGAGGGTCCCTACTCCTCTCAGTGGCAGGCAGCTATGGATGCAGAGATGGCTTCCTGGAAGTCCACAGGCACCTACGTTGACGCGGTTCCCCCTCCTGGGGCGAACATCGTCAATGGCATGTGGATCTTCCGGGTGAAGCGGCCGCCGGGCTCTCCACCTGTCTTCAAGGCGCGGTACGTTGCTCGTGGCTTCAGTCAGCGGCAGGGAGTTGACTACTTTCAGACCTTCTCTCCCACCCCGAAGATGACCACTCTTCGGGTGCTGCTGCACATAGCCGCTCAGCGCGACTACGAGCTTCACTCTCTCGACTTCAGCACTGCGTTCCTGCAGGGTAGCCTGCACGAGGAGATCTGGCTGCGCCGTCCACCTGGCTTCACTGGGACTTTCCCTCCTGGCACCCAGTGGAGCCTCCGACGGCCAGTCTACGGTCTCCGCCAGGCACCGCGTGAGTGGCACGACACACTGAGGACTACGCTTGCGGCTCTTGGGTTTGCTCCTTCTACTGCTGACCCGTCGCTGTTTCTGCGCACCGACACTTCACTGCCGCCGTTTTACATCCTCGTGTACGTCGACGACTTGGTCTTTGCCACAGCGGACACTGCTGGACTCGCCTACGTGAAGTCCGAACTGCTGAAGAGACACACGTGCACAGACCTGGGTGAACTGCGCAGCTACCTTGGCTTGCAGATCACTCGGGACAGAGCACGCCGCACCATTACCTTGACTCAGTCACACATGGTGCAGCAGGTCCTTCAGCGCTTCGGCTTCACGTACTCCTCGCCTCAGGCCACTCCTCTGCCTACTCGCCACTCACTCTCAGCTCTGCCTTCGGATGAGTCCGTAGAGTCGAGTGGTCCGTACCCAGAGCTTGTTGGCTGCCTCATGTACCTGATGACCTGCACACGACCTGACCTTGCATATCCTCTGAGCATTCTTGCACGCTATGTTGCTCCTGGGAGACACAGACCAGAGCACATGGCTGCAGCGAAAAGGGTATTGCGCTACCTGTGCAGTACGTCGGGCATGGGGCTTGTGCTTGGAGGGCGGAGTCCAGTGGTCCTTACCGGCCACGCGGACGCTTCTTGGGCTGACGACCAGGCTACGCAGCGGTCGTCACAGGGTTACACCTTCAGCCTTGGTTCCGGCTCTGTCTCGTGGCGGTCTACTCGCTCGTCTTCGGTTCTCGGCTCCAGTTGTGAGGCTGAGATCTACGCCGGGGCCATGGCTGCACAGGAGCTTCGCTGGCTCACCTACCTGCTGACTGACCTTGGAGAGCCGCCTCGTTCTCCTCCAGTACTGTACGTAGACAACAAGGCCATGCTGGCCTTGTGTCGAGAGCAGCGCTTGGAGCACAGAACGAAGCACATTGCTCTCCGCTACTTCCTTGCTCGTGAGCTGCAGCAGCGTGGTCAGTTGCGACTTGCGTACGTGGCCTCTGAGGCCAACACTGCTGATGTGTTCACCAAGGCACTCGCGCCTTGTGACCATCAGCGCTTTTGCACCCAGCTGGGTCTTGTGCCTGTCTTGCCTCACTTGCTCTCCTCTTGACTTCACTTGTACTGTGACATATATATATACCTGCTCTTGCTTGTCTAGTTTTATATATATGTCTGTACTCCTGCATGTGAACTGGCCTCTGGCCCTGCTCTTGTGCTCGGACTGTGTGGTGACTTTGTGATCCACCCTGAGCTTGCTTTGCTTTGCTTGACTGGTCTTGTGACCCCTTGTTCTCCCCCACTTTGCCTATGGGGGTGTGTCAAACATTATATATGTTATGCTTGTGTAGGCTACAGTGGGTTAGCCTATAGGGGGTACACAATTCTAGGGTTTCCTACTTGTACTCATTTCACTGCTAGTTCATTCATTCCTGTTCGCTTATTCTCACATATTTCTGACTTGGTCGACGGACCGTCTACCCTAGTAGACCTGACCGGCGGGCAAAAACAAACTAAACCCCTATCGGACCTATTGGCGCGTGTCTTTTGAATTTTATTGCAAAGTTCAAGTTTTTTAGCCGATTTTTAACGTTTGAACCTTGGTCAACCTGTACTCGAGTATCTCAACTTTGGGTCCCGTATCTTGATTTGTTTTTTCCTAAAAAATCACATGGCACAACAAAGTTGGACTTTATACAGTAAACCCCAAGTCGCGCCGACGTAGATTCGGAATGAATCCGGAATCAGTAACGAGGTACGGTGTCGTTCGTTGCCGTCGCAATTCATGATGAATGAGAAGAAGAACACACGTTTGGCTAAAAGGGCACATGAAAAATCGACCTCGGTTCATTGTCCTTCAGTTTCATCCATATTTGAACATATAAACACAATTATTGCAAACAGTCGTTAACTGAATTAATGGAGCGGGTTACCAGCAAAAGGTCGACCACTTTTTTGAACCTCTACACCAAAAGACACGCACCCTGAACACCATGCGACAATGTGTCTAGGGTTGATGCCTCCCTCGGATGGCATGCCCTCTCTATAATGTCAGGCTTATATGCTATAGTCTGTGTAGGCTGTAGTGGGGTAGTTCATATGGGGTACAACACTTTAGGGTTTCCTACTTGTACCCCTCATCTTGCTCAATGCATTCATTCCTCGTTTCTCATCATGGTATCGAGCAGGTTCCCTTGTGGGAACGCTTCCTAGGGCCCACCACGATATATTTTTTTTTCCTGCCCGGAGCACGCTTCGCTCCTGCCCGAGTCGCGCTCTGTGTGCCCTCCCTACCGTCGCGCCCTCTCACGGCCCCTTCGCGTCGCCTTTAGCGGCCCCTCTCACGGCCCCTTACGCCGCCCTTACGGCCCCTCGCGCTGCCCTTTACGGCCCCTCGCGCCGCCCTCTACGGCCCCTCGCGCCGCCCTTACGGCCCCTCGCGGCGCCCTTACGGCCCCGTCGCCGCCCGGTCTAGGCTCCTTGCGGCCCCGTCACCGACCCGTCTAGGCCCCTTGCGGCCCCGTCGCCGCCCCGTCTAGGCCCCTTGCGGCCCCGTCGCCGACCCGTCTAGGCCCCTTACGGCCCCGTCGCCACCCCGTCTAGGCCCCTTGCGGCCCCTCTGCGGCCCCGTCTAGGCCCCGTGCGGCCCCCCCTCTGCGGCCCCGTCTAGGCCCCTTGCGGCCCCTCTGCGGCCCCTCTGCGGCCCCGTCGCCGCCACCTGCGGCCCCGCCGCCGCCACCTGCGGCCCCGTCGCCACCACCTACGGCCCCGTCGCCGCCACCTGCGGCCCCGTCGCCGCCACCTGCGGCCCCGCCGCAGCCACCTGCGGCCCCGTCGCCGTCACCTGCGGCCCCGTCGCCCTCCCCTAGCGGCCAGAATAATTCAAAATCGTTGGACTAAGTTTCTGGACAGAAATTTCGACTCTACAAGAAACGCCGTCGACGATAAGTTTACTGTCAAAACATCACAATTTTGACATATGTTGTAGCTCTTGACCGTGGCTACAACTCTCAATTCAAATCGTATCAATAGATGAAGCAAAACTTGTGTTATAAATTTTGGCGCACTAGGGGGTATGCTAGAACTCAAACTTAACTCAATCACAATAGTTTACACAAGCTCCACACAAGAGAATTAGAGTATCTAGAAACAAGGTAGGAGGGGATGAGGAGGATGAGAAGGAAGGTCCCAAGGGAGCCCCAAACCAAGGAAACCCCATAAGCACATCAAATCCTCTCTATAGGAACCCAACTTTGACCCTTGTCATTTTCCCAACCTCCCAATTCCACCTCAGCCAACTTGGCCACACTTGCCAGCCTGGTTTGGCTTCTCCAAACTACTTGGCATCATCTACAGTGATGGTGATGAATTTCTCAACCCCAAATGGTCTATACCCCATATGGAGTCACCCCACAAATTCTCAAAGCCGCAACGAAATATCACAAGCATACGAACTTCAATCGTTCGTATCCTTCTTGTCCATGCTCCGATCGCGACGATTCTTGATTCGTTGGAAAGCTCTAGAACAGAGAAGTTATCTCAAATATCTGCTTAAGCAAGAGAACTTCACAAACACTCAGAAAATCCAAACCACACCAAACACAAATTATTGCACACGCTCACACCACGCATGTAACGCATGAACATATGATGGGAGGCAGCCAGATGTGAATGCAAATGACAGCATCACATAACAACAGTGATGGTTCGCTGTGCTCTGTCCCGGGTGTGAAACAAGTGAACAGGAATGTGTGAACTATGAATGAAGGCAGTACAAATATGAAACCCTAACTGGGTTGTACCCCCTATGGGATACCCCACTACAGCCTACACAATAGTATAAGCTATAGATATGTTCTGACACACCCCCATTGGCAAAGTGGGGGAGAACAAGGGGTCACAAGACCAGTCAAGCAAAGCAAAGCAAAGCAAGCTCGGGGTGGATCACAAAGTCACCACACAGTCCGAGCACAAGAGCAGGGCCAGAGGCCAGTTCACATGCAGGAGTACAGACATATATATATATAAAACTAGACAAGCAAGAGCAGGTATATATATATGTCACAGTACAAGGAAAGTCAAGAGGAGAGCAAGTGAGGCAAGACAGGCACAAGACCCAGCTGGGTGCAGAGGCGCTGATGGTCACAAGGCGCGAGTGCCTTGGTGAACACATCAGCAGTGTTGGCCTCAGAGGCCACGTACGCAAGCCGCAACTGTCCACGCTGCTGCAGCTCACGAGCAAGGAAGTAGCGAAGAGCAATGTGCTTCGTTCTGTGCTCCAGACGTTGCTCTCGACACAAGGCCAGCATGGCCTTGTTGTCTACGTACAGCACTAGAGGAGAACGAGGCAGCTCTCCAAGGTCAGTCAGCAGGTAGGTGAGCCAGCGAAGCTCCTGTGCAGCCATGGCCCCAGCGTAGATCTCAGCCTCACAACTGGAGCTGAGAACCGAAGACGAGCGAGTAGCCCGCCACGAAACAGAGCCGGAACCAAGACTGAAGGTGTAACCTTGTGACGACCGCTGCGTAGCCTGGTCGTCAGCCCAAGAAGCGTCCGCGTGCCCTGTAAGGACCACTGGACTGCGCCCTCCAAGCACTAGCCCCATGCCCGACGTACTGCACAGGTAGCGCAACACCCTCTTCGCTGCAGCCATGTGCTCTGGTCGGTGTCTCCCAGGAGCAACATAGCGTGCAAGAATGCTCAGAGGGTATGCAAGGTCAGGTCGTGTGCAGGTCATCAGGTACATGAGGCAGCCAACAAGCTCTGGGTACGGGCCACTCGACTCTACGGACTCATCCGAAGGCAGAGCTGAGAGCGAGTGGCGAGTAGACAGAGGAGTGGCCTGAGGCGAGGAGTACGTGAAGCCGAAGCGCTGAAGGACCTGCTGCACCATGTGTGACTGAGTCAAGGTAATGGTGCGGCGTGCTCTGTCCCGAGTGATCTGCAAGCCAAGGTAGCTGCGCAGTTCACCCAGGTCTGTGCACGTGTGTCTCTTCAGCAGCTCGGACTTCACGTAGGCGAGTCCAGCAGTGTCCGCTGTGGCAAAGACAAAGTCGTCGACGTACACGAGGATGTAGAACGGCGGCAGAGAAGTGTCGGTGCGCAGAAACAGCGACGGGTCAGCAGTAGAAGGAGCAAACCCAAGAGCCGCAAGCGTAGTCCTCAGTGTGTCGTGCCACTCACGCGGTGCCTGGCGGAGACCGTAGACTGGCCGACGGAGGCTCCACTGGGTGCCAGGAGGGAAAGTCCCAGTGAAGCCAGGTGGACGGCGCAGCCAGATCTCCTCGTGCAGGCTACCCTGCAGAAACGCAGTGCAGAAGTCGAGAGAGTGAAGCTCGTAGTCGCGCTGAGCGGCTATGTGCAGCAGCACCCGAAGAGTGGTCATCTTCGGGGTGGGAGAGAAGGTCTGAAAGTAGTCAACTCCCTGCCGCTGACTGAAGCCACGAGCAACGTACCGCGCCTTGAAGACAGGTGGAGAGCCCGGCGGCCGCTTCACCCTGAAGATCCACATGCCACTGACGATGTTCGCCCCAGGAGGGGGAACTGCGTCAACGTAGGTGCCTGTGGACTTCCAGGAAGCCATCTCTGCATCCATAGCTGACTGCCACTGAGACGAGTAGGGACCCTCTACGGCCTCCGCGTAAGAGCGCGGAGTCGGGATGTGTAGTGCATCCGGGTCTCCCTCAGGAGCAAGCAGTACAGACGCGAGATGAGGTGAAGCAGCCGCCAGACACTGTAACTCCTCCTGCCTGTCCTCTAGGACGTCCGTGCCAAGAGCACAGTCACCCCCGACGGACAGAGGACAGTCAGACGCTGACTCAGCAACAAGACTAGCAGCGTAGTCTAGACGACAGCGAGCAGCAAAGTCGACGAGCTCGGCGACAAGGGCAGACGCAGCAGTGGACTCAAACGAGGGGTCAGTGACGACAGTAGCAAGGAGACGCGTGACAGTAGGACTGGCAGCACGAAGAGAGTCCGACTCAGGGTCGGCAAGCGCAGGAAGAGAGGACTCAGGAGGAGAAGGCAAAGGGACACGCAGAGGAGCAGTGGACGGACGCAGAGACATCCGGTGCGTGCCAGGGACAGGAGGAGGACGCTGACGCGAACCGCGACCACTAGTGCGAGCAGCACGAACAGGCGACGCAGGACGAGACGCAGGCTCACGACGCTCAGCAAGACCTCCGGTAGGACCAGTGTAAGGAGAGGGAGCAGGCAGTGGAGAGGAAGGCTCCAACAGGGACTGCGACTAGACAGGCTGTGGACACTCTACCGGAGGAGAAAGACCAAGAACCTGCTGTAGGAGCGGAACGAAGTACGGCCGAGGCCGCGCGGCAACTCCAGACTCAGCAGGGACAACACTAGCACCCTCAGCGACAGCACTAGCGCCACCAACACCTCCAGCGGCAGGACCTCCAGCAGCACTAGTAGTAGAACCACCGCCGGGACAGACAGCTGTAGTCTCAGCACCAACACCCTCAGGAGCTCCTGCTCCAGGAGTACCCGCAAACCCAGCAGCTCCGGGACCGGCAGCACCAGCACCCTCGACGGTCGAAGAAGCTCCAGCTCCAGCAGCACGCCTCCAGCGGCGAGCAAACCACTCGCGCAGCTCCTGTGGAGAGAGGGGCTCCCGGCGAGACGCAGCAGCAGGAGAAACCCCAGGCTCAACAGCTCCAGACGTAGCACCCCCAGGCTCAGCAGCTCCAGACTCAGTACCCCCAGGCTCAGCAGCTCCCGACCCAGCACCCCCAGACCCAGCACCCCCTAGCTCAGCAGCTCCAGGCACCGTACCCCCCAGCTCAGCACCCCCAGGCTCAGCACCCTCCGTAGTAGCACTCCCAGGCCCAGCACCCCCAGGCTCAGCACCCCGAGTAGCAGCACCTCCAGGCTCGGCACCCCCGCGCACAGCACCCCCAGAGTCAGCACCCCCAGGCTCAGCACCCGCAGCAGCACCAGAGTCACCAGTAACCTCGACCGGGTCAACAGCGTCTACCTGGGACACACTTGAGGGGGCAGGAACCTGAGGGGGGAGGGGGTCTACCGGGGGGGGAACTGGCACAAGGAAGTCCGGCGGAGGGGGGAGGGAAGGAGTGCGGTAGGGGAAGAGGCGGTAGAAGGGGACTAACTCGTCGAACGTGACGTCCTGGGAGGACAGAACACTACGAGAGGAGGGGTGGTAAAACTGCCACCCGGGAGCGTCTGTGGGGAAGCCAAGGAAGACACAGGGAGCAGCACGAGGGGACAGCTTGTCCGCAGACAAGTCGCGGACAAACGCCCGAGATCCCCAGACACGGAACGCCGACGCATCGCCAACCTTCCCCGTCCACAGCAAAGCTGGGGAGGTCTCCGGTCGGGAGACTCTGGGCTGAAGGTTGATCTGATGCGCGGCGTACCGAACCGCAAACGGCCACAGAAAATGGGGGGCAGCCGCATGCACCATGGACGTACGGGCGACGTCCATGACAATGCCGATGCGGCGCTCAGCAATCCCATTCTGCTGTGGAGAGTCCGGAAGCGTGAAGGTCTGGCGGATGCCTCGTGCCCGACAGTAGGCTCGCAGAAGGCCGGAGGAGAACTCTCCGCCTCTGTCCGAATGCAGACGCAGAACAGGAAAGTCCGAGCCGAAGCTCCGCCTGAGCTGGAGACGAGCTGCGCGGATCCAGTCGATCAACACCTCAGTGACCTCACCCTTGCTGCGCAAGGGGAAGACTGTGGTGTAACGCGAGTAGTCGTCAACCACCAGCAGGAAGTAGCGCTCGTGACCCTGTCCACGGACGCGGGCTGGGCCCCACACGTCCATGTGAAGCGTCTGCATCGGGGCCTCCGTCGGAGGGAACGGGGAGGAGTGAGGGGTAGCCCGCAGGCGACCCTCGA